TTAAAGTTTTTCTGTTCTCCTCCTGCAGTTCCTTTGGGGAGTAAAGAGTGGGGGAAGGCCGTGCACTTCCTCTGTTAACATCTAAACCCTTGGGAAAATTGAGGGCGCTTGCAGATCGTGTCTTGCTTTGGTCATCCTACTGTTTCTCTCCTCGCACCTTGCTGAGGTCAGCTGGGAGACCGAGCTTGCTCAGAGGGTGGCAGGTCCTTTGGAGTCTGAGGATGAGGATTCGGGCTGGGTTGGGGAAGGATAATGCAGGGGACCCTTTGAGGATCTGAGGAGAGAGATGGAAAGTGCCCAGGAAGGGAGAATGGCAGAAGCAAATCCTGCTGTATCACAAAGTTCGCTTCAGACACATTCTGTGTGTGTGTGTGTGTGTGTGTGTGTGTGTTCTAAGGAAGGGACGGTCATTTATAAGATTGTTTCTATAATAAAACGTGCTGTCGCTTCAAGACAAGCTACTTTTCAAAGGAGGTTTGTACCCTCATAAAGAGACTGTTGAGTAGGCCTTACGGTGGACAATGTGATTGTGACACGGAACTGTATTGCTTTTGAAACTTCATGTAAATGATTCACCAAAGCTTTTAAATACCTAAATCCCACGGTTTTTGCACTGTGGCAAAAAAAAAAATCTGACCCATATTTTGACTTCTGAAAAGTCAGAAGTGTAAGTCGAGAGAGTGAAGGGAAGTGTGTCTTCCTTTTGGAGGAAAAACTCGGTCGTATCACCCTTCCCAGTAAAAGAACACAGAGAAGGTATTTGTTCCAGTTGTGGAAAATTATTCTGGCAAGTTCAGTACAGCTAAGATGTAAATGTATTAATGATTGGAAGATAGTTGTTTGCAAACATTTGGGGCCTCCTCATCTCTGTGATAGCCACGTAAAACGGTTAACAGAATCTCCCTAGGCTTGCTTAAAATCCACTAGGTTTAAAGACCCTGAGGTTGGCAAACTCAAATTTACTGCTTGCGTCCTTAGCCTCTAATACCTGTTGTAGTGCGCCACCTGCTGGCTCCACTTAAGACTGCACTCAGTGTCCTGTAATAGATTTCCGACAGCGATTGTGTTTTATTGAGCATTCCTTTTCAGAGGATGGCAGTGTCCCCAGAGGATGAGTGGCCCGTATGTAACAAAAGTCATTCAGTTCTAATTCTTTCAGTACGTAAGTTAATTCTCACTTGTGTGGAAGGCACCTTGGAGACATGGCAGTCCCTCTTTGATTCTAGACCAAAACCCAAAGACAAGGTCAGTACCAGTAGCAAAGTGTTCTCTTTAGAGATGGGCACAGTAGTTACAGAGTTTAGGGTTTGTTTTTTTTTTCTGCAAATAACAGATGCCTGATTTGTGTTACTGTGTTAGATTCTCGTCCTAAATTTGGTTTTTATCTAGCTTACCTTTTCTCGTTCTTATTGAATCTTTTAATTACGGAATTAATATATTTAAAAATTGGCACACAGATGTG